GTGGTATGTGATTCATATCATTTGAGTGACCATATATTCAACATCTTATTGACTAGAGGCTTTCCATACGATCAGCAGACACACTGCGACTTGGGAAATCTCCATGCAGTGCCTTCAGGCACATCATATCTAAAATCATTATCTCGGCAGTACAGGGGCTCAGTGCTATTATATCAGTTTTTTTTTTTTTAAATTGAGACATTTCATAAAAACAAGCCTGTAATGCAACCTGTGCTGCTGCAGATTTCTTTGGCCCCCTGAGTAATTGTCACTCTCATTTCATTAAAAGGCCATTCCTATTTTTGAGATTTTTTTCAAAGCTGCCACTCTGAGTGGATCCTGACATGAGGACAAACCATTACTTCATCATTAGGGGTCGAGCACCAAAGCTGCTATGAAATTTCTTGTATTCGCTAGTACTCTTATTATTGTTCTCCTGCCCAATGGGAGCCACTAGAACTGTTTAGAGAGCTGTTGTGATATTTGGCTCACTGGAGTGGTCTTGAATAATCTCCAAAGCAAATTTAGGGTCTTCCACTGTTACCCTGTAGTGCCACTATCAGTTCAAAAATGCACTATTTTTATTAAATTTTTATTTATCATTCAACCCCATTTTTTTTAATTTCTCTTTCCGTGATGATATTAATGAACTCCTTAAAGTAATAATAAATAAATAATTTTCCACCTATAAACTGTCCAATTTGAACTAAAACTCAAAGATCAGAATTTAGACCATGCTGCACATGTATCTCAGTATGATTTGGTCTGTCCTTGCGCTACCATGGTCTCCCATGTCCAGAAGGTATCTGACCAGTGCAATTTTGCACCTAGTGGTAAAAAGACATTTGAATGAATCTAATCATTTTTCCTTCAAAAATCATTCTTTTGGCCTCTTTAGGGCTTTCACACTGCACTTAACTTCGGGTTATCGACATTCTAAATTCCGCTTTTAATTCTGCTTTTAATTTAGGATAAGAATGTATTTAACTATTCAAAAGCCATTTTATGTGTTTTGGGTTATGAGAATTACAACAATACCCCATTTATAATTTTCAGCCAATGCATTGCGGCAATTCGTTGGCCTATTAAAATGAAGGATTGGAGAGATCCTATGCTCCGTAGTCTAAGGGCTACTTCTAGAAATTCTCAAATTTGGCTCATGACATTAAGACCACTATAATGAAATATAATGGAATCTTTTTCTTTGTTCAAAACCATGCTATCACAGCAACAGCTATACTGGGGTGTGCTGACTCGATGTTCTATGTCTCTTTGGGCAGTGTGATGAGGTTGTTAAAGATCTATGTTGGAGGTCAGGAGGCTGTTAGTTCAAATCCCACATGTGGTGACTCTTGAAGCAGTCTTGTTTCGTTCTTCCCTTTCAGTTATGTGTCGTGGTGAGTGCATGTTTTTTTTCTTAATGATGCAGTCGGGAGTGGAAACTCAGGAATGTGAAGGGCATCGAGGTGAATCGAGGACTGATCGGATGGACCCTTTCTAACAAACCAAGATAAATAATGCAAACCTGTGGACATTTACCCGTTGTGTGCCTTTCTGACAGTGCAGTCATGTTATTTCCCCCCAACTGTGTTCTGCTTTAGAAGATTCTAGGAAAACTCAGCCGGGAACTATTCCTCCATAATATACTTTGTGCTAGAATTCAGTTTCCAATTGTCTGCTCTGTCCAACTTTCTGATGACTTGCCCTGAGTCCTGGAGAGGCCAGGTGCCTGCCGGTAGGAACAGGAATGGCTCCTATTAAGCCTGGTGCTCATAAACCTGAGTTACAGCAATGGAGCAGACATCCATCATCTAGCTGTCTTATCAAGATATTTCCCTGATGACAGCATATGGCTAGAAAACGGAAATCATTTACTTTACGACCATGGCACCCACTCATGGGGCTTGTCTGTAGTCTACCTTAAAAAAAAAAAAAAACGTAAAATACCCTGGCCGGCCAGTAAAAGACAAAACTTAATCTACCTTCCAAAGTGCTGGTTGGAGAAATTGAATCTTCTCCTCCATAACCCATACCATTTTAGTTTAAATGGTGGAGCAGAGACAGTCAATATAAACTTGATAAGCAGCTCACTACTGTTTTTTATTATTATTATTATTATTTTTAGTTAACTGGATCTTAACAATCAACAATAGAGGGAACTTTCTGATGTTAAGTTCCTGACCTGAGAGGAATTTTCTGGACTCAGTTAAGGTCAGTCGACAGCATTTGTGGCTTATACATACATATAAATGGAAGTGGATGGGTCCAATACATAAATGTTAAAATACTTACTGTTTGTAAAATGTTTACGTTACGGCAAATACTGTTAGCCACAAGACATAAACAATATGTATGTCAAAATTATTTCAATGTGATTTTTTAAAAGAAATTAAAACTTTTATTCAGCAAGGATCCATTAAATTGATCAAAGTGACACTACATACTTTTAAATTGTTACACAAGCAATTCGCGGACAGCTTTCTTTGCACATGAAATCCCCTATATGCCAGCAAACCAACGAGAACGCGGAACAATGATGACGATGCATAACAACAGAGCGTAGGCGCCAAAGTGGTTTTGGATTCAGTTAACCCCACCATAACTGGCAAAGATTTGAAGACGTTTGGCAAATAAATAAATAAATGACGGACAGTTACATACGTATTACCAACATTTTATTATGCAAGCTTTATATTACACATCAAATGACAAGGGAATTTGTAGTCATTTATAGTATTAATATCAATTAGAGAGTCCACAAACTCATTCACTCAAATGGCTTGGCTATGGAGAGCATTTGCAGCTTATATGAACTGCACGCTCTGCTGTATATCCAATTCTACAACTTCGTTATTATGAAAACGTAATGGCATCATGAAACCTAAACCATCTGCAAAAATGATTAAAAGAGAATTAATGCTTTTATAAAATTATAAGCTTCACATTTCGGCTTTTAAATCCTCTAAAAAAGTAAAAATGGAGGTTATGAGAGGCACTTACAATGGAAGTAAATGGGGCCAGTATATTTAAAAAACATGTTTTTGTGGTAATGAACAAATTCTGTCAACAGAGCTTAACTTGTATTGAATCCAGAATATTACTTTAACCAAAGTATGATATTGTATATCTTTACTGTCTTGAAGTCAAATTCGTATAATGCTCTCAGACACTGAATTTTTTATAAGAATCACCTACTCTGGGAAACAGAAATGGGGCCATTATGTGATGACTCTTCACACCAATGCATTCGCAGGCATTTAAGCTGTCAAGAAACCTGTTTCCAAGCTTCATCACCAGCGATCATCCCCTCCCTCCTCAGCAATACAGTCATATAACCGCTCAGCCATCTCACAGCATTCACTCTCACTGCCAAACATCACACCTTTCAGCTACTGAAAGCCTCATATGTGGCTTTTTAAAGTAACCTTTGCCACGAGAGCTCATTCTTCTCTCCTTTTCCTGTTCGGTGCCATTCAGGGAAACATCCATTAAATGCAGCAATAAAATCTAAGAGAGATGGAGGCTGTTGAGAGAGATGTGGCCTTCAACACACTTTAATGTTTCACTGGAGGCATGACATATCAACTAATGAATAGGTCCATGTTCGTCGTCTGTTTGTTTAGAAGTGTGGACTTGGCATATCAACTTATAAGGAGTTTTTAATGATACACAAATGAAGGCAAATGCACATTATCAACAACTAGAAGCCAACACTTTTCACCAGACACCTGAGACGAAAAAGCATGGTGACATTTGCAACCAACCCCCTTTTAGTTTTACACCTCTCATGCTGTGAGAACAGGCTCACACTTGCTAACATTTGATATTAATCAGGCTATGGTGAAATTAGTCTCTGCCATCCACAAGAATTTAGCTGAAGAGCTTCTGAGTCGTAACCCCAAGTTAAATGCCATATGGGCTCTGAGTTTTAGTAGAAATGTAAAGATCTGAATTATTCATAATCCTTTAAACACCTTAGAAGTTCCTGAGTGACTCCATCAAAGGTATAGGGCAGGGCACCAGAGTCCCAATGGGTATTTGAGCACCGACCGTCTGATCTTTCCAGCAGATGGAAGAACATCATATTAAAGATATTAATTTCAACAGCAAAATCAATATATACTGTGTATATATATATATATATATATATATATATATATATATATATACACACACACACACACACACATATATAAATACTGTATATATGCAGAATGAAGACTAGCTTCCATAGTATTATTTATGGCACTGAAATTGCTGAAGCTGAAAGTACCAAAGATGTTTTATAGGATGCTAGTGATAATTGTAGAAATTTATGTTTATAAAAAAGAAAGATTCAGGACAATAAATAATACATAAAGCAAAAGCTCTGCTATTCTGCCATTTTGAGTAGAGTTATGCTTTTTTGATGGATTTTAGGCTAGTGTAATACGCTCACAGATTAAAGGGTATTACAGATTTACGAATGCATTCGCTTTGCTAAGAATCATGGTGGCTGGTACAAGGTAATCCATTCTAACATGAAGTAAACATTTCAGAAGGTAAAATAAAAAAGAATAGTAATAATAATAATGCTCTGAATGCTTTGAATGTTTATATCCAGGTAAAAAAAAAAAACACAGTAAGAATGTAAAAGAGTGAATGCAGTATTCCTGTAGCTTAAATGGTGCTAGCAACGCCAAGGTAATTGGTTCGATTCCCAGGAAATGCATGAACTAATTAAATGCAATGTAAGTTGCTTTGGATAAAAGCATCTTCCAAATGCATAAATGTAAATTTACTAGCTAATACTATAGCTAACATCACGTAAGAGTCTAACACCGCTTTATGTTTCCAGTTTTAAAGAATATCTATTGGATGATAATTTACAATTAAAATTTTTGGCATACATTTACTAAAATTTTTTTTTTATATATATATTGTTTATCATTTTTATCATTTACATTTTTGTACTAGCTAGCATCAACTCCTTTGGGAAGATTTCAACCATTTCAACTTACCACATTGAGTTTGAGCTCCATGTTGAGGACACCTCCACTATCCAGCACTGGCATTAGGTTGATGGCAAATATCGCTGCCCGGTCTGGAGGGATGGAGATGTTGGGTCCAAAGAAGATGTAAAAATGAACTGAAAATGTGTCCAGTTCATTTCGCAGCGTTGGCCGGATGGGCCAGCATTTATTTGTGTCGGGTATGGGTGCTAAGTAAGTGATGCTGTCTTCAGCGTTCAAAAGAGACCCTTGATCAGAACCGTTCTGGGGCACGTTAGGCAGGCTGGCGGCAGGCAGGGTCTCTGACAGAGAGAAACCCATCGCAGTGCCAAATGACTGGGGCATGTTCATAGCTGAGGAGCCCTTGGAGACACTGGGCTTGGAACAGTCTGCAGAGAAAAGATCAAAGGAGATGTTTTTAATATTGGGACGGCGCACGTTTTCCGCTGAAGAAGCTAGTTACGAGAGATGTGAAATTAGAATGAAATAAAGATGTCTTGAACTCTGACGAATCCCTTGACTGAAGCTGACAGCTCAAACTCTACACTCGGGTTACTCTGAGGCTAAAAGCATCTTCCTGTCATTCCAGTCTCTTTGTGCTAGATCTGACTAGCATTTCAGCGGAGACATACTTTTTTCCCAGTTTCATGCATATACTTAGATGTCTGCGGCGAGATGACAGGCCAAATGACTGCTGAAAGTGTCTATGTAGTATGAATTGATCTAAGTGGGGTGTATGCTGTGTTTTAGGTAGGACCACAGAACGGCCAAGGGAACGGCCTGTTTCATCATATTTACTTTTATAGGTCTCTCAGCTCTATGCAACTTTAAAGCCACACACACACAAAACACTTCAAAACCCTTATGTTTGGAGTGTGAAGTCTTCATTCAAATGGTGACACATTCTTTGCATCACAAAAAGAGTGTGTCCCAAAACACATTAAAACGAGGGCATGATTGTTCTTAGCATCTTTTAATTGCGGGCTTTGTCGTAACATGGTACTTTGTAAATTAGACGGGATTACAGAACACATTTTGATTAAATGTAAATTAGCAAAGCAATGCTGCGGAATTGAGATAACTAATTGGCACTGATGAATACAATAAGGAAATTCTCCACACATCTCATTGTTTCCTGATTGCCTCAGGGTGTGAACGTTCAGTTATGCTACCGAGTACTCAGGAGTCTTACAGTCATATTTCTCTTCGCACCCACGATTATTGCAAAATGCAGTGAAACAGGTGCATGGTTTCATTATTGAAATGTCAGGTCGCTTCCCCCCCAGCTCTGTTTGCTGTGTTATCGCTCGCGTCTTGCCCTCCCAATTCTCTTTCCGGCTCATTTTACATCCGATCCTTGAGCCAGTGATGAGAGAATGTTTCCAATAGTTACGACTTTAGATGAAGGTTTTTCACACATCCACAATCCAAAAACAGTCCTGACGAGAAAGCTCACCACGCTCTGAAGTAGACTATTATTACTGCAGGTGGGCAGGGTAATTAAATGTCAGGCATTGAAGAGCTCTACAGAGCTCTAAATTCTGGTGACCCAAATATTTTATGTAGCATCACATCACAGGAGAGCAGGATGTTCATTTCATCAATAATATTCATTGTAATAAACTGATCATGATCTAACTATTGATTACTGAATCTGAATCAACAATAATTACCTATACAGTATATAGTTATATATATAGTAAAACTATATTTTAGTATTATAGTTTAATTAGAATTTTCCATGTTTATGTACGTTGAGATTCAAAGGATTATGATATACAATATAAATATATACACTCACCGGCCACTTTATTAGGTACCCCATGCTAGTAACGGGTTGGACCCCCTTTTGCCTTCAGAACTGCCTCAATTCTTCGTGGCATAGATTCAACAAGGTGCTGGAAGCATTCCTCAGGGAGTTTGGTCCATATTGACATGATGGCATCACACAGTTGCCGCAGATTTGTCAGCTGCACATCCATGATGCGAATCTCCCGTTCCACCACATCCCAAAGATGCTCTATTGGGTTGAGATCTGGTGACTGTGGAGGCCATTTTAGTACAGTGAACTCATTGTCATGTTCAAGAAACCAATTTGAAATGATTAGAGCTTTGTGACATGGTGGAAGTAGCCATCAGAGGATGGGTACATGGTGGCCATAAAGGGATGGACATGGTCAGAAACAATGCTCAGGTAGGCCGTGGCATTTAAACGATGCCCAATTGGCACTAAGGGGCCTAAAGTGTGCCAGGAAAACATCCCCCACACCATTACACCACCACCACCAGCCTGCACAGTGGTAACAAGGCATGATGGTTCCATGTTCTCATTCTGTTTACGCCAAATTCTGACTCTAACATCTGAATGTCTCAACAGAAATCGAGACTCATCAGACCAGGCAACATTTTTCCAGTCTTCAACTGTTCAATTTTGGTGAGCTCTTGCAAATTGTAGCCTCTTTTTCCTATTTGTAGTGGAGATGAGTGGTACCCGGTGGAGTCTTCTGCTGTTGTAGCCCATCCGCCTCAAGGTTGTGCGTGTTGTGGCTTCACAAATGCTTTGCTGCATACCTCGGTTGTAACGAGTGGTTATTTCAGTCACTGTTGCCCTTCTATCAGCTCGAACCAGTCTGGCCATTCTCCTCTGACCTCTGGCATCAACAAGGCATTTCCGCCCACAGAACTGCCGCTCACTGGATGTTTTTTCTTTTTCGGACCATTCTCTGTAAACCCTAGAGATGGTTGTGCGTGAAAATCCCAGTAGATTAGCAGTTTCTGAAATACTCAGACCAGCCCTTCTGGCACCAACAATCATGCCACGTTCAAAGTCACTCAAATCAACTTTCTTCCCCATACTGATGCTCGGTTTGAACTGCAGGAGATTGTCTTGACCATGTCTACATGCCTAAATGCACTGAGTTGCCGCCATGTGATTGGCTGCTTAGAAATTAAGTGTTAACGAGCAGTTGGACAGGTGTACCTAATAAAGTGGCCGGTGAGTGTATATATATATATATATATATATATATATATACTGCATATGTCACCACATTATAATTAAATATGCAATACACACTGTACAAAATATATGATCAATAAGTTACAGTATGACAACATATGTTTTTATATTGATTTTACTCATCAAAATAAGTTAAGCAATTTTTTGATACAAGATTCAACTTATGTCAGTTTAATGTAATTTAAGTTGAAATGACTTAAACATCCAAGTTGATTGTACTTATTTTAAGACAGCAACGTTTTTTACAGTGCGGTTCAAAAATTTGAGGTTATTAAGATTTTTAAAAAAATTAATTAATTAAAGCTGCAAGCAGCATTTATCGGTGTTCAAGCAGTTAAGGCCTTTCAGCACAAAAGCATCAAAAAACATTAAGTTTGATTTAGCACACATTTAACCACTGACATAATAGATGGAAAAGACCATTTACAGCCAATACAGACAATTTACCATAGGAAATATATGGGTTTAAAGCTTTTTAACAGTTATAGCGCCACCTATGGTCCGATCTCCATATTGCATGCTTGTTAATGATGTTATGTCACATATGCTCACCAATTTTTGTGAAGTTCTGAGGTTTCGTTTAGGATTTATAGGCGTTTGAGTGTATTTTGCCACACCCGTTTTATAAATGACCCTGTTATAGCCATCCAAATACAAAAGTTCAACTTTTTTTCGTTAATTATTGATCTAGAGAGTCCAGAGAATTGTCCTAGACTAGTTTGGTTCCAATCGGGCGAAAAACCTAGGACTAGTTCGCAAAAGTAGGATTTTACCATATTTTTGTGAATATTTAATGAACGATTTGATTGACAGCAATGGTTACAGAGGCAAAGTTGTTCAGTATGAGGAGATCTATCAAATGATATGCATATTGTGTGGATGTGTGCAACACCACGTGATTACAGAGTTGTAAAACTCGTTTGCGCCAACTAGTGGCCGATTTCTTTCAAAATTCTTACAGACCTCTAGGGCCATGAGTTGAACATACCCACCGAGTTTCGATCCGATCGGCCTCCGTTAATACTGTCTAATAGGTGCTCAAACTTCATTGGCCGATGGCGGCCATGTTTTGTGAGATACGCCAATGTCCTCATAGACATACATGGCACCTTGGACCAAGACACTGCATACCGATTTTCAAGTCAATCGGACTAACGGTCAGGTGGTCATAGCCCTTTTTATGTTTTTTTCATGTTATAGCGCCACCTAGAGTTTTTTTTATTGTGACCTCAGATTGAACTCATACACATGTGTACCGAGTTTGGTGAAAATATCTCATTTACTTCTCGAGTTATAGCCATTTTAGTAGAATAGGCTTAACGTTCATTTTGCGCCCCCTAGCGACCGGAAATCGAAATTTCAACTTTTTTTCGATAATTATTGATATTCAGACTCCAGAGAACATTTCTGCACTGGTTTGGTTCCGATCGGGCAAAAAAAAACTAGGACTAGTTCGTAAAAGTAGTTTTTTAACAAAATTCAAAATGGCGGAAAATCCTTCATGGTGGAAATGAAATCGGAGATATAAGCTTTTTTCTTCAGGGGTCCAGCTTTCCAATGATATAAGACACTTGAGTCTACGACATACGGTTTAGGAGTTATGAGCAGTTTTGCGCAATTGATCGCTGTAGCGCCACCTACTGGCCAATCGGGGTCATACTCTCTGAACCTCTCCTCGATTTTTGTACAACCCTATGCCAAAGTTTCAAGTCTCTAGCACTTACGGTTTGGGCTGCACCATGCGTTTTAGGGGAGAAGAAAAATTACAGTTTCGACAAAAATATTGAGCAGCATGACTGTTTTCAACACTGATAATAATAATAAATGTTTCCTAACACCAGATCAGCATTTTAGAATGATTGGACTGGAATAATCGCTGCTGAAAATTCAGCTTTGCCATCACAGGAATAAGTTACATTTGAACATATATTCAAATAGAATTTTTTTTGTAAATAGTAATATTTCACAATTAATTAAATAAATGCAGCCTTGGTGAGCATAATAGACTTCTTTCAAAAACATTTTTTTTTAAAACATACAGACCCCAAACTTTTGAACGGTATTGTGTGTTTAATTTATTGTCCTTAGAGGGTGAAATTGGGAGAAACATCTCAACAAATCCTGGCATGCTCGAGACTTGATTAGTACGCAAATCCTGCAGTGTTTATAAGCCCTCACCATCTGATCAAATCAACTCTTTTGGCTCCTCTGTAATTACATCTATTTTGCCATGAAATGTCATTATAATTCTTGCTGACAAAAGCAATGATGGACAAAAGATCACAATTAGTGAGCCGAGGACATCTTTGAGGGCTCGTACTTGAACATGCTGTCTGGTTCAGAATGAGGATGTGTCATCATGCGCTCTAT